ATTTATGCATCTGTAACTGCAGTTTAAATGCATTCATGTCCCCTCTGAGATATATAAACTGTAAATACATCTAAATGTTATTTCAGATGCAGATTCCAGAAATGTTTTCTTATGTTGGAATGAAAGACACTAAGTACCGGATGAAGTGCTTCTTATTCTTAACCAAAAATACAAAATGGAAGAAAGAGTTAAAAGCGAACACAATATTGCTACTCAAGCGGTGTATGAACAGTTTATTTATATATACAGTATGTATATGTATATATATACAGTATATATATATATAATCCTATAGTATGTGTGTGTATGTATGTATCTATATATGCATATGTACGTGCTTTGCCTAAATTAAGTTCAACTGACAGCTGATTGCTGTTAAATTATTTTTCTGCCCCACTTTGTTCTTTTTGTCTTTCTCTCACCAACCTTGTAGAAGCGGATGCCGTTCTTCAGCCCAATCTTCAGAGACTCCTCCAGGCTGGGCTGCAGGGCGAAGCTCAGAATCATAGCCACCAGCAGCAGGGAGGTGATGAAGACAGAGAAGCAGAAGAACGGAGGAAGAAATGTCTTCCAGCGCGGGAAACGGGAGGTGTCCAGTGAGTCCTGGCAGACTTTACCAGCACAGATGTTGATGCCCACTGATGCTAACCCCACTGCCATCAGCAGATTTGGCACAATGTGGATGTCCATACTGTGCATTACCTATATAGAGTAAGAAGGGTTGAATATTTATTTATTTATTTATTTATTTATTTATTTTACAGGCATTTAATCAGGCCCAGACCAATGTTTACTTTCTTTGAATCGTAAATTAATCCAGTATAAGAAAAAAGGTTCTCCTACTGTTAACATTTCATTTATGCATTTGGCATACTTTTATCCAAAGTGACATACATTGCATGGTACACATTTACATTTGAACAGTTCTTGCTTTCCCTGGGAATCAAACCCATAGTGTTGCTAGCATCATACTCTACTCTCTGAGCTAACCATTTAGCAACTTCAATTCTTCCTGCATCTGCTTATAGCCTACAGACATGACCGAAAGTTTTAGGTTTGCTATTGTTGTATTATATACTGTAGATCTTATAATTATCCTGCACCTGTTGAACAGAAGCATTGTGTGACTTTTTAATCCTTAATTTCTTCCCACAATGCTCTTTTTAGTCATTATCAGGTTTCCTTGTGAGGTTTATTGACTTCATTTTAGATACAAGCTCAGGTGGTACACACACTACAGGACATTATCTGAGTGCCAATCCTCAGATTATGTGAGATTATTCCTCGCATCAAGACAAAGCTTAGGCCTTTTACACTGGGGTTGACAATATAAAGGGTAAATGAAAGTAGTACTTGTTATAGTATTGTAAATATAGTAGTAATTTATTCATTGTGTCCAATAAATAATATCTGCAAACCATTAAGTAAATATTACTTAGTAAAACATTTGTTTACTGTACAAAACACAGAGCATTTCTAAAAACTGTTAAGCATGACTGTTATGCAGTGCAGTTCTGGTTCTGTTTATCCTTTCACATATTTTATAGATCCTAATGGACAATAATGGCAGACACACTGCTCACTGCAATTCATTATGTTTCCATTTATGTTTTTGGCAAACAAGCATGTATCTAGGGAAGTATTATTACATCACATTCTTTATTCTCAGGTCCTATTATATGCTTTTTAATTAAGAAAAGTTTCATTACCTCTGATCTGCGATGTAGCTCAGTTTTGAGGAAGACCCCTATAGCAAAGGTAATGGCTCCAGAGAACATGGCCACCCATGAAAGCAGCCAGAGACCCTGGGCCAGACGCACCCTCTTTTGGAAGGGGAACTTTATTTTTAACAACACCATGCTGCTTAAGAAGAAGTGCAGGATAGAGGAGAGAGAGAAGTTTAGATTGCAGAAGAGGAATTTAATAGAGGTCATGCAGTATCAATATCCAGCACAGCAAATAATCAGTCATTCTCAGGTAAATTCCCATAGTTTTGTCAGGTTCTGTTAGTTCTAACAATAATAATGTTGTGCAATCCAGTATCACTTGGAAATCACCTCCAAAATACTTTAAATATAAATAATACAAGGGCGTGGGACAAAACATGGTTTTGATGTTAAATTAAAATGACATTTTAGGTTGTCCCCAAGATCATCTGATTTTAGCTGAAGAAAAATGATTCATTACCTTCAAGAATGTTTGAGTGCCCTTTCTTTCAGACCCTGAGCCTTCAATATGCCTCCTACAGTTTGGCAGCCATTTTGACTAGGTCTTAAAAATATGATATAGAGTATTATGTCTTGAGTGTCATAATCTCCTGTCATGTCTGATCCTATTAGACCAATTCCACCAATGGGAATCCAGGCCAGTGCCCTCTAAGCAAACCTGCCCTTGGTCAACAAGTTCAGAAGAGTGCCAGAAGGAGGGGTTTGATGCAAAGTGTGCCATTTAATGGGCTGAGAAACCATGAAAAGAATGGAGAAGAAAACATTTTAACACTGTGCATGAGCCTCAGTGTATAAGGCAGGGTCAGAAATAAATGAAGACTCATAAATGAGGACACGGTTCAGGGTAAAAACACACTAACAGTGATAAAAATGCCCCAGATATAAAAAATGTAGTAGCAAAATTGCCAACTTATAACATTTGATAAATTTCAAAATTTTAGTATATATATATGATATGATATGATATATGATATGACATGACACCATGGACCTCTTAATCCACTGTGACTATGCAGAATATAGATGCTGTATAATATATAACCAGGAATGGGTCATGTGAAATATAACAAAGCAGTATTAATTGTCTTATGATATACTGAGCATGTGATGTTTGTTTAATTTTAACTTGAAATCAGTTGAAGTAATTGTATGATAATTGGATGTCCCACTGTGTTTTATATGGATATAAAGACACCCCTAAGACAGATATTAACCATTCCCAAATGTAGAGCAAACTTGCACACAAGACTTTATTAATACATTTAGAATAAAAATACAAGGATATTCTATAATAAATATATATGGTTATATGGCTTATTTGATTTCTAGCAGAAACTTATATAAACTTATATTCTATACATATACACTCTAAAAAATGCTGGGTTAAAACGGGACAAACCCAGCTATTGGGTTGTTTTGACCCAGCGGTTGGGTTCAAAACAACCCAATAGCTGGGTTTGTCCCTTTTTAACCCAGCACTGGGTTATATTTAACCCAGCATTTTTTAGAGTGTAGTTACACATATAGATTTCACAAAATCAAGAATTCAAACTTCACTCAAAAGACAGAAGCACTCAAAGACAGAAGAAAGTGCCATACTTTTCCAAAACAAATTGACAGTAATTTTGGTAAGCAATAAAATAATATGAATATTGAATTATATTATTTTATTGCTAACCTTAAATATTTCACAATATGCAGGGCAAAAAGTGCAAACATGTACAAAAACACTAACATGGAGGATGCCTTTTGCAAATGCACTGAACTACAAATGAAAACAGGAGACCAGAAAACTAAAAGTTTAAATGGATATAGCACAAAACCAGATGGTATATACAAACTTATATGCATACAGCAACTTGTGAAGGTAGAAATGAAGTGTCACAACTACCAACAAAGAGCCATCAGAGTCACAGTTAGTTGCATCCTTGCTGCAGTATTGGTAATGGGAGATGTTATTGAGGTTTTTATCCAGTTCAGTTTACCAAAAAGATGTCAAATTAAATGTTACTGCTTTCTCTCTGTTAGTTCTGCTTCTAAACTAGCTTTCCCTTCACCATCATGCACTGGAGGAGGAATCTGGTTTAAAAACTCATTCAGCATCCTATGAGCTGCAAGACAGCTGACATCAGTGGGCTCTTTCCCCACAGTGATGGTTCCCTCTCCACCTGTCTTTCTGCTGAACCTCATCTCATCTAAATTATATGGGTTTGGGGGAATTAAGTAGATATCTGTGTTCATGGCTAATTGATGCACTTGATGACTTGGGGCCTTTGTACCTGCCTTTGTTTTGTGGATTGGCACATCATCACCAAAAGAAAAAGGAAGTTGTGAGTCACTTCCTTTAGCCATGAGTTGCCCTGGCCCTGCCCATGGAACATGATCATGTTTCCATGGCAGAAAGGCTGTGGCAGGCTGTTGTCTGGCACCTGAACATGTGTGTCCAGTCTGTGGCCATTCAAAAACATCCTCTTTTCCACCAGATGGTTGGTTGTTTGTGACCTCCTGTGCCCTCTCTGATTGGTCAAAATCAGGTTGCTGTGGAGATGTTCGAGGACATAAGAAGTGCTCCAGTGCTCCCTGAGAGTCAAAGTGATTTTTCAACAACTCTCTAATGAATGAGGGAACCTAAAGAGAGAAAGATGTTGACCTTTAACATTTCGTTTTTTTTCAACAGGTGAATTGTTTTTTTTTTTAATGTTTAAACAACTATGTAGACACAACTGTAATTAAACCTGCTGGCTAGCTATAGCATAAGCATTGTTGAATTGTAATTTTTTTTAACAAGTTTATATATTGCCCCCTCTTCGCTCAGGGCAGAAATTATGTCATGACAATGCTGATTGGCTGGCGACTATCCTGCATTGTGATATCAAAAGCAGGAGAGCCCTCTAAAAAGCAAGCTGCACTGGTAAAACATCTACTATACTACAATAAAATATCATAGGTTAATAATATGTATAACATTATATACGTACATATAAGCTGTTTAGTGGGAAATTGACTAGTTTGTGCAAAAAATAGAAGACAAGGGGCATCTGTTTGCTGTATCTGTCTGCGAGTGCACTTACATTGATGTTTTCTAAAGAGCTGATGGTCTTCTGAGCAGAATCCAGCTGTTTAGTCAGATCTGCGACTCTCTGCATGAGGAACTTCCTCTCTGAGTCCAAGCTGTCTACCTGTCAGAATAAGGTTAAAAAATACTGCTTAGATGTAACATCAGTGATGATAGATAGCACTACAGAAATTTCAGCTGATGTGAATTTGCATTTTCAAAGAGGCCAGCTCAAGGGCAAGCAGGTGCTTTAATCGGTAAGCCATAAGGCCTGACAAGAGTACCATCATATTTGACAGGTATACACTTTATGTTTAAGAAGAAAAAAAAACAAGTTTCTTTGTCTTTTGTGGAAAGTGCCTCCTACACTTGTGTTAATCTTACCGCAGATTTGAGTTTCTGCTCCAAGACACTGTTTGCCTGCTGAGAAACAGAATAGCTTTCCTGAAGCCTGCAAATGATACATAACAGAGAATGAGGGATGGGTGCTATCATTTCATGAACTAAAAACTCTTGTTTATCACAGTAGTATATATTGATTTTCAATTCTGACCTTCTGTATTTCTCTTTGAAGCTGACTAACTCTGTCTTGGTACACTGCAATTCTGCCTCCATGTTCTCAATGCATGCCACCGTCTGCAACAGGTTCTCATGTAGCTCTTTGTTGTACTCCTCCAGCATCCTGCAATATATTACAGATCAGTGTGTTTATCTGTCTTTGTCAGGAGGTAAACTGCTGTGGAACTCAGTATCATAAATCATTCGCAAAGAAATATATCATGACTCTGCTCTGACTGTGTACTGGACAGATGAACAGAGACGGATGAAAATAGAAGCAATCGATGTAGCTCAGGCTGGATGGCAGAGTTTAGGAAACCAAGCAGAGTAAAATGGAGGAAAGCTCTGGAATAAGAGCAAAATCAATAGTTTGAAATAACCAATCAGAAAAAGGGGGGGAAAACACTTACTGAACTCTGTCCACGGAACCAGATGAATCCTAGGGGCAAGAGAGAAGAGAGAGGGGGTGAAACAGTGAATAGAGGACAGAACAGAACAGAAAATAGAAAATTGATTTTTGAAGTGATATGTTCCATGGAAGACCATTGATTGATGACTCATCTGGTTCAATTGTTTTAATCAACAGATATGGACACAATGAAGGGTATCCCTCGTGTTTCCAGCATTAGAGGTTAAACCATTTCTATCACTTTTATTATAATTATCCCTTCATTTTTAATCTTTCTGCTCTGTGCTAGAATAACACATATATTTATTACAACTTACTAGAGAGAATCAGATGTTGAGTGCATTCTTCAGTATCAACCATTCACTTATGTTACCCAAGTGTTTGTGAGGGGGGGGGGGGGGGAAATGGTCAAACAAATACGTTTGTTTCATTTATGGAATATATACAACTACTGTTCAAATGTTATTCAGAAATCATTCCAATATGCTGATTTGGTGCTCAAGAAACATTTCTTATTATTAAAACATGTTGCGTTGCTTAATATTTTTGTGGAAATAAAAGATTCTTTGAAGAAGAAAATGTTCAAAATAACAGCATTTGTTTAAAGTAGAATATTTTGTAAAAACATCTTTACTGTCACTTTTGATCAATTTAAAGCATCCTTGCTGAATAAACGCATTAATTTTTATTTTTTTATTTTTTTTTATTTTATCGACTGTGACATTTTTAATGGTTGTTTAAATTTATCAATAATTACAACAACAACAAAAAAATTTTTCAATTTTGTATTTTGTTAATTGTATAAATTGTATAAATAAATTGTTTTTCATATATTTTTTAATCATATAGATTTTGACTTTGATGTTTATCAAATGTTTCAAACAAACAAAAAATCTATCAATTTCACAATCAATTCAAATCTCAAACAGGGTTGCAATAATTCCAAACCTCATATAAAATGATTGGAATACAAAACAGTACATTCAATATTTTATGTATTTATTTATTTATTTGAATGTTTTCTAAAAATATTTTAAGCTTCTGGCCTTATTTTAAACTAAACATTATGTTAAACATGAAAAAAAGCCAAACAAAGAATTGCTTTTTTGGTCTTGTGATGAACTCACCCTTTGTGGTTTGGACTGCCTTCTGTGTCCCATGTGTTTGGGTCTGTCACTTTTCTCTGAACTAGCACTGGTGGATGATTTACTCGACTGAGACTCTGACTCCAGCCCTGCGGCTCGCAAAAGTGGTGGTGATCCCTTCTCCTGCTTAGTATGAAAGTGTCTGGAGGGGCCATGACTACTTTGATGTCGCCCTTTGTGTTTCGAGAGGTTGGTGTGGATAGTTTCTGGGCTGGTGCTGGTACCATCAGTGAGCATCTGAGAATATTGCCTGTGGTGCTGTTTACCTGAAGCAGCCCCTTGTCTTTCAGCTTTAGAAGAGTGGCGGGGCGGCGGTGGAGGACTGGTCAGGTTTCGGTTGTGGTACTTGCTCGGTCTCTTATGTGATCGAGAAAGTGAGCTTGAATTGTTTTTTCCTGAATCAGGTCTCTCAGTTCTGATGGGCTGCTGTTTTGGTGATGGCACAAAGCTCTCCTGCTTGCCACTGCGGTTCTTGCGCTCTTCATTGGGAGATTTTGGTGGCGTTGATGTGTTTACACCAAAAGAGCTAAGAGCACAGGGACTGATAATCTGCTTGGTGATCTCGTCCAGAAATGCAGAGAACTGTAGCTTCCCTTTCACAAAGTTATCCCTCGCAGCTTCCATTGAGATCTGCTTGGATGTTCCTGTGACGTGCACCCTGGTGGAGAGCACCTCCATAGACTTTGCTTTCCTGAAGTTTCCTTCTTTCTGTCCCTCATAGTTGTTTTTCAGAATACCTTTGCTGGGCAGCTGAATAGATGAAACAGCCTTCTTGGGAACCACCCTGCCACCTAGAGTGTTGTCATTATTGCCACCAAAGGCTAGGCTTTGTCCCAGGCTTGCAGTCTTGTAAAGTGGCCCATGATCAATGGAGTGAGATGCTTCTGAGTAATCATGTTTGTGCTTGTTTTGTTGAAGGCCTTCCTCGCTTTTGCTATGGCCCCGGGAGAGTTTTGGCATCCGATGTTCATGCTGAGAACCAGGCAGCAGTTCAACGACATTTTCAAGGCTGTGGCGGTGCCTCTGATCTCTGTGATCAAAATCAAAGTCCTCGGATTCTCTGTTATGGCTTTTCCTTCGAACCTCAGGGATGTTGGAGCAGGACAGGGAATGCTGGGGTTTGTGCATGAGATACGTCTCATCATCCAGGCTGGGCTCTGATGTCCAAGATGCAGATGAAGAAGAGGAGGAGGAGGAGGACAGGCTGGAAGAAGACCTTTTAGAGAAGCTGTGATGGTCTCCAGACATTTTAGGGTTTGCGGGATGATAAAAGTGATGTTGGTTGTCGTGGGGATGGTGAGTATGTTTATCACTGTGTTTTCCAAGTGATTTTGTGCTTGAAGAGCTTTGACTGATTTAAAAGGGGTTACATAAGGAAATGAAATGAATAATAATGAAAATAATGACAATATGTGATCTGTTGTTATATCTTGTTATATACTGACTCATTTACACAATAGCAGTAGGGAGATTTACATTGTGTTGAATAATAATTTCTCAGTTATCTCAGAAAAATTGCAATATGCAAGACATAAAGCCATAAACTGGGTGGGAATGTAATACATATTGATATTTTAGTTTTTTCTGTTACAGGCCACAATGTACAATTTTCCTACCATACTAAGACATATTGTTTCAATTAATCATAATTGCAGTAAGTATATAAAATTAGGAGGATAGAATATTGAAGGTTGCTATATTTTTTTATTATTATTAAACAAATGCATTAATTGGTTTGTTGTGTTCATATCCTGTATATGTATATATATATATATAGACAGAGAAAAACAATATGTGGACAAACCAGTCACTCTTTAATCAATAGGAGTGCTTTATGCTGGAATTCTCAGAACACGCGCAATTATTAAGCTCTCTGTGAAGTAGTGTGTTTGAATGGACAAATTCACACAAAAATGATGTCAAAATGCCCGTCTTGGTGAGTATCCTAGCAGACATAGTCTGCTGAACGTACAGTATCAGTGCACTGGATCAGTGCGTTCTCTTAAAGTGACAGCACTTTCTTAATGTTAATCAAACAGCAACAACACGGAAATCTCTCACTGCTCTTGATTGAATAACTTTTGTAACTTTAATAAGGATTCATCTTTAATTTATACAGTGAAATATGCAATGTTATTTTACCTTTGATTTATTCAATTTCTGTACCTAAAAACTATGTAAGATCTACCTAAAAAAACTGAAAAGCACTGTTTATTTTATTTGTATCTTTCTTCACTGTTTATTTATTTGTGCTGTTGCTTGTAGTTAGATTATTTGTTCTTATTTTCTTTATTTTTATTTGACAATATAGGTTTTTTTCCCTAAACATAGCTCGTACTGAACCGTACCGAAACCGTGACTCTAAAACCATAATATAAACCGAACCGTGAGTAAGTTGAACTGTTGCACCCCTAATATATATATATATATATTCATTTTCAAATATATTTAAATTGAAATATTATGTATGTGCCACCAGGCCTAAAAACTAACAATAAAATATCAATATAAATATAAATATTGAAAGGCATTTGCATCTGCTGCCCCTGAAACATATTTCTATTATATGTATTACATAAACATATTTCTATTATATTTATATTACCTTTAAGTAGTTTTAGAAGTCAAAAACATTTTAAATTGAATTGTTGTCATCTCTGTAGTTTGAAATTTATGTGACTTTTGTTCCATTATAAGGTTTTATGGTACTATTTTGGCCAGGTTTGAAAAGATTTTAAACTCAAGGGACTAGCCTGGTCAAATAAAGGTTTAATGATAAAAAAAGAGTAAGATTAAATTTCACCTGAACACATATCAGTGTTATTTTAATATTTATATACTATTATAGAGTAGTATTTATCAATTTAGCTTTTATTTTTTATATGCTTTCATTCTAATTTTAGTTTTAGTAGTTCTATTATATGTGACCCTGGAGCACAAAACCAGTCTTAAGTCGCTGGGGTATATTTGAAGAGTTCAGATGCAAAAGCCTCTAAGTGCCATCTGAAATGTTCATCTAAAATGAGGATTTTTAGCAGGCTCCTACGTTTATGTTCAGTTATTTCACTTTAATTGTATAGAAAAGGACCTATACATTGCCATTAGAGTAAAATTACTGAACCTAAACAGAGGAGCCTGCTAAAAATCCTAATTTTAGATGAAAATTTCAGACGGCACTTAGAGGCTTTTGCATCTGAACTCTTCATTTGTAGCAATAGTCAAAAATACATTGTATGGGTCAAAATGATCGATTTTTCTTTTATGCCAAAAATCATTAGGATATTAAGTAAAGATCTTGTTCCATGAAGATATTTTGTAAATTTCCTACTGTAAATATATTAAAACGTAATTTTTGATTAGTAATATGCTTCGCTAAGAACTTCATTTGGACAACTTTAAAGGCGATTTTCTCAATATTTTGTACCCTCAGATTCCAGATATTCAAATAGTTGTATCTTGGCCAAATATTGTCCTATCCTAACAAACCATACATCAATGGAAAGCGTATATTTATTCAGCATTCAGATTATGTATAAATGGCAATTTTAAAAAATGTACCCTTATGACTAGTTTTGTGGTCCAGGGTCACATATGCTTTTGTCATATTCAGTGTTTTTTTTTTTTCCATTTAACTTTATTTTTATTTCAGGTAAAATTTAAAGAAATTTTAATTTGAAAAATCTCAAACTCATTTTATTTCAGTTATTTTGTTTTATTTAGCTTGAATGAAAAATTGTAATAGTTAATTTTACATATCCTCCAGAGAAAGTTTAAACACATACCTGTGTGATCCATGGTGGTGATTATGATGGTTGTGAGGATGCTGTTGAGGTATGGGATGGTAATGTTTGTATAGTTTCACCTCATCCTCTGAGGAGCCACGCACAGGTGTGAAGTATCTTTCCATCTCATACACTTGCAACACTATCAGTATTTAGCTTCGTTACTCTGTTGATGCCTCCCTTGCAATTTCTGAAAATGATTTTTTAGCTCTGATTTGGGCATGTGATCCTTGTAGCTTTTTGGGGTCTGTTTAAAATTTGTTTTGAAAGTTCCAGTAATCTGAAGAATGAATGATCTTCTAAAGAAATATATTCAAAAGTGCATCCTTTGACAAGCAGATGTTTCTTCACCAGGCTCGAGCAGCTGATTGAAACAGGTCTAATGCTGCCAGGGTTTTCTGTCACCCAATACCCATCTGATTCTAATGTAATGACTCCTCATTGAGGTCAGTGAAAAAACGGGGGGAGAACACAGATGGAACACAATCGATCAGGCTTTGGTCATGGACGTTGATGGAATGGACATCGCATGACATATAGGCTATTTGGGTCACGTACACAAAACGGTGTGAATGAAATTCATAAGGCTACTTAGTTACATCACAATGGATTTATTGGATGACATTTATTTATATTTAATGGCATAGACAAATTGTTCCTTTTCATATGGCATCCATGTCACATCCTATCACCTATTTACATTTTAAACAACATGCTATATTTTTCTTTATAATGCATAAGTGTAGTTGACATGGACATTTTGTTAATTTATACAACTTCATAAATTCACTGAAAAGGCGAAAAAAATAAAGAAATTATGACTATTTACAGCACATAAAATACACATTTGCCCTTATACAGTCAGATGTTAACCTAAAATCTTGATGTTGCTTGCACCAACTACCCATAAAACATATATACATCAGTCACCTTCCATTTGTGATGCTCATGTCCAGAACACATGGAATCTGATATTTAAAGACTGATTAAAAAATAAAGACTAATACATCAACACACTGGCTGAAGGTTTTCATTCAGGTCATGACCGATAGGGTGTATTCATGGGCAAATGGACTTTACTTTAAGAATGTTACGTGATTAGTGTGAGGTCGGTGCCATCTAGTGGTTAACTTTCAAATGAAAACCCAGGCCCAAAATATGCAGATCTTTCCACACTTTTCCATTCGTCACATTAAGATCTTCTTTATTTTAATACGTTTTTACACACCATGTTGTGACGCAAAATGGCACAAAATGACACGATGGAATAAAACGAGACAATGTGATATATCAGCAGTAGGTCGGAAAGTTCCTGAACCATGATGGCGAATCTGCGAAGTCTTTTCAAAAGCTGTCGCACAAACGACGACAGCCGCCGAGAATGAATCACTGCGTTGTGTAAATCTGTAGGAACGAAAAACTAATTGTAACATTTACATCAATTTTGGAGATTAAATAGTGGCATTTAACTTGGATGATCCCTGAAACCTAAACCCAAAACGATTGTGTTAGTTTAGCGCCGTGTAATATAAACCCGTTTAACAGATTATGCTTACTGAGCACTGAAAGCTTTGTCACTAAGCAGGTTTCTACCGGCCCCTTACATGATGAATGCTTAGACATAAACAGGCAGTCCACTGGTATTTCGTGTTTTTAAGTGCATTTGTGTCGCCCATCCCCCTTGTCCCGGTGTGAAGGTCAGCACAAATACCAGAGAGGGGCCGTGCTGGAGTCTCGCTTGCCCCGCACCCACTCTTTCAACGTGGGATAAAGAAACGAGCCCCTTCTACATACCTTCACAGCGAATTCAGTTTAAATGCACCTTTATTCATTTAATCGGAAGCAGTTTACAAGTGAGAAAAGTACAGCACTAGGTCAAAACAAAAACAATGGACAGAATATCTCATTTGTCATGATGGGCTTTATTTAACCTTCTAAAGTATAATGTATATTTCTTGACCTCCCCAAAAAACTGGGTTGTTTTCGCATAACTTTCCATCTGGATTAAACTAGAACATTCTGGCATTTAGTTGATCTATCGCCTTTTTTAAGCCAAACGTGTTTCACGCATGCGCATTGGGGCACTGCAGTAGAATGAAAAGAAGATCCGTGCACTAAAACCGGTTTTAGCCGGATTGAAAGATGGGGCTTGTGTTATCCGTGTTGTATTCCTCCGCACTGCGCTTCTGACGTAACTGTTGTTGTTTGAAAAGTACATTTGTGATGAATCACCCTGCGTTTCTGGGCAGCTGCGACCGATGATCTTATAGAAATGGAAAATGGTGGGGGAATTCCTTTTAGAAAACTTTCCATGTCATCTGCTTTTAAATTTGGTGAATGTTTGCGTTCTAATTCGACTTTGTGTCTTATATGAGGTGTTTACACGATGTATCATTAAACCATGATATTTTGTTTTTTAATTACATGCCCAATTTCACTTATAACAGTATTCATGAGTGTTGATAGCAACATATATTTGGCGGGTCTGTATATCTCTGAAACAAGTCTAAAAATAGCATTCAAAATTCCTTTGAGAGGAACTGTTTTTTTATCACACGGCGGAAGGAGCTGAAACCGACCGCCTCACTGAGGTCTATAAAAACCGTGGCAACAAGAAAGCGCATCACGACGGGACGGGGCGAGGCGCAAAGGAAGGCAGGCAGGCAGGGAGGGTTGATCTGGTGATGTGATTTCGTTTTATGCCATTGTACTTTTTTGACGATAATTTAGAGACACTATTCTTTGTCAACTTTCTTTCGCTTTCAAGCTTATACTTTGTTACAGTTGACTATACTAAGGCTTTCTACTAATTACGTTTAGCGTGAAGAAGATTTAACGAAAGCTATTTTTATACGTTAAAAGTGCTTTTTTGACGAAATGATTGGCTAGACTTTTTCTAATAGGAAAGAAAAACTATGAAATAAGCAATTCTATGTAATAGAATGGTATGCTGATTTTACTATTAGCTAATGTTCAACCAGCTGAATAATAGCTTAAACAAAGCACAGCTATGACCGTGTTATCCTATTTTATTAAGCTAGTTTTAAATCTATTCTTCTTTCAATGAGATTTTTATGAAGTGCCTTGACTTAAGAAGCTTTTTTTCGATACTTGCTTTCTCATTCTTAATGTCAGCAACGCCTTTACAAAATGGCGGTCGCGACGGCAAGCAGATGCATGATAGCGAGGGCGAACCATAGACTGTATAAAAACGGGCGATCAAGTCTACAACAAGCCTACAGTAGATTTTATATATATATATATATTTATATATTAAAAAAAAGCTTATGTTTCTTTTGTCTGCAAACCATAACATAACAATCAGTAACCGCTTACTGCTAAGATAAACACCAGACAGTCAGAAAATTAGTCTTTTTATTTCTTTTTGAAGCCTTTGGAGAAGCCCGTCTCGTTGCTTTTATTAGGAAGAAACTATTGAACATCAAGTGAGTTTATACTTGGGAAGAAATGGACGATGCTTAGTCGCAGCTTATTTGTTTCTGAAGATTTTTGTTTTTTACGTAAAACCAATATTTCGACCACCAATTCATAAGTCTAAACCATTATAATCAGCTACTATGACCACTTCTGCGTGCTTGAACGACCCACCTAAGTTACATGATCGCTTTTATGGACTGAGTCACATGTTGCGTAACAGCTGTGAAATGGGAGCTTAGCTTGTTTTTCATGATCCTAAAATATCAGCAAAAGACTGAAGTACGGCGTAAAGGAGAAATGGACTGAGTTTAATTTATCCAGTAACGACCTAGCGCTTAGATGACAACGGATGGAAGAAAAGATCCACAGCAGAGGCCAGGACCAGGGAGAATCAGGACAAGATGGCGAGCCAGGCAGGACCAGAGGGGAACCGGGGAGGATCAGAGGGCACAGAGCAGGGCGAAGATCAGCAACAGCAGCAGTATCCAGATGGGGGAGCCAGATCCACAAGGCAGATTAGCGTCAGAACAACTTTCGCCACCAGAGGGAGCTCAGCTGGTCTAGATCAGAGCAAGCCAAAGATGAATGTCCCAACAACAGCAGCAGAGAAAGAAAGAGGGCTCACAAGCAGAGAGTATCAGGGGTCTTCGCCATAGCAAAGTCATGGAGAGGGCATTTGGTTTGTATGGGTAGAGGTATCCGGTGTAATATTGAAGTCATTTCATCCTTTCTTTCAGTAGACAACAAATGATGCAATTGAGAGTTGTGGTAATCCATATTGGTTTGAATGTGCATACATTTTTAAGGTTTGGCTGTCATGAGTTTATTTATAAGTGGTGC